ATGCTTGTGCCTATTTCATAGATGGAGGAAATTGGGACTCAGCTGGAAGAAATAATTTGTCCAAAAAAAGGCCACCTTGGCAGACAGTAAATTATGAACCCTTAAAGTTGGAGCTTTGGAAGTGTAAAGCCATGCATTTTCCAAGTACAATATGAAGGTTTTCAGGATGTACCTGTATGTGAGAAAGGCAAAAAGATAGTCTCTGAAACATGTGTGATTCAACCTGAATCATTTAAACTCACTTTTCTGTTACTTGGCCTTCCACCTCAAGATGTCCAGTAAGTAACTGCCTTCCTTATTCCCAGACATGCTATGAGATTTCAAATTGAGTCCATCAGAATAAACTACATTTAGTATGTCTTTCCACACGGAGTCACTGTTTGATGACAGAAGTGAGAATAAAGGCCATTGAGTCGGAGTTTTCTTATATGACGGGATGGGACAATCGTAGTTAGACATTCCTTTCCCCCTCAGCCTTCCTTATGAACAAAGCGTTGCCATCCCTTGCTCCTCCAGGCAGGGCAGAGCCTCAGTCTCTGGTGACAGTTCACACACATTGGGACCAGGGTGCTGCAGCCCTGTTCTCTGCTCTCTCCGTCTCTGGTTTCCTGGTGGAACACGAAGGAGGCCTGCAAAGCCTAAGCAACCGTTCCCCTGCTTTAAGATGTTAATCACAAGCAGACGAGCCTGCCTGGGTAAAATATGTAGCATGGACTCAACTGATCACTACATTTATTGGCATCATTATTTGATAGAACTGACCTTTTGGTTCAAGTTTACCACTTAGTCATTTAATAGAGCATAACTTTTAGCCCAGTCATCAATTAAAGGAGTGTATTTATGACAGGTTTGGGGCAGAGGGAATAAGAATGAATAGGAAATAAATAGCGCAATTGTGCAATGTTTTAGACTTTATAAAGCATGTTCTCTATGCCGGTGTTGCACTATTGCATCGATTTCAACTCATAGGGCAGAGTGGATGTAACCTTATCTGATTCATACTCTTAGATATTAATTGTACAGTGTAGGTAATTGAGGTTTAGAGCAGTCGAAACTTACTCAATGTCACAAAACATGGATCTTGCAGTCAGTATTCACACTCCAGGCTGCCTATTCTCAGTTATGAGGTTTATTTTCCCTCCAAATATACACTGACAACTAACATACACTGTCCTATGTTAGTCACGTGCTGAAGTGTGGTGGTTAATAACAGGCACAGGCTCTGGAGCCAAGCAGCTCTGGGCTTCAGTGCTGCTCTGTTGCTTATGAGCTGTGTACCATAAGCTAGTTGCTGAATATCTGAGCTGTAAATTTCTCATATGGAAACTATGAATAATAATGAACTTTATCAACCACTCAGAATTAATTAAGAAGATAAAGGAAAGGTCAGCTATCTAGCCTTAAGCACTTGCCCTGAGGAGATGATGTCCATAGGTAGTTACCAGGGAGAAGACCACAGGTAGTAATGACCTGGTGGACTGGACGCCGTATCCTTTTGCTTCCCAGTGCTCGTTCCAGTGGAAAGATTTGTTTTTCCTCTTGCTACCAGCCAACTGGGCATTGAGTGTTTAATAGAAGGAAAGGGAGGTAGCATATAGAGCCAATGAGTTTGTGATGGGCCGAAGGTGGGGAAAAGGTATAGACTCACAAGGAATCGTTGTGTCAAGACTACTATCATTAAAAAGCATGCACATCTTGCAGCAACGGGTATGCCATGAAGCACTTAGTCATAAGCCAAGGGTCTGTCAGTATTTCCGGCCATCGGCTACAGGACCTGTGCTTATCACTGGCATGTTTCCACTGGTGAACTGATCCAAACAATAGATGTAGTGGCTTTTCTATAACAGAAATTTTTTCAGTTCAAACGCCAGCTCTTTTTTTTGGATGTGTAATTTTAGATTTTTTGGATCTTAAACAATTCAGTTCTTTTGAGACGTAAGAGTGATAAGTAGTTGAAAAATTCTTTTTTAAGGTCCTTACTAGACAAAATAAAAAGTTGGCAAACATCTAACAGCTCCTCCCCACTAATATTTATCTTGAAATCTCAAATTTCAGAAATCACCGGTTCAGTGAATCATGACATTTTCTTATAGTTCTGGGAACTGAGACTCCTAGCTACTAAAGGAACTTATCTAGAAGAACCATTCAGCAGATCCAGTTCCTCATAGTTCAGAGTCTATATAAAAGTTTAGTTCTTGTCCCCGAGGAAATTGCAATCTAACAGAGGAGATGAAAGCATTGAGCTCGGATGTTGATTAATCATGAGGTAAGTATAGCACATGATTTAGGACTAGATGAGATGTGAGGCAAAAACCACACAGGGGCATCACATGGGAAGAGAAGCCCTGGAAATCTGTACCCAAACTAGACCAAAGGACCAAACAAGTAGCTCATCCACCCGGGTGACCTGGAGCTCCTTAAGTTATTGAATCACTCTCTTGGCCCCGATGTCCTGAGGCTGGACATGACTATAGGATTTCAATGGCTAGACGGGATGGTTTTCATCCGGGAGCAAGACAATCCGGGCTGTGTTTGGTTGGCCTTGAGTTTTCCTACCACAAACAGGTTTGGTTGAAAACATACAAACTCTGGTTACATACAAACTGTGGCATCAAACTGTGACACAATAGTCCCGCTAGTACACAACTGTGGGTAAAATTTATAATAAAGCAAATTCTCATCAAACCCAAGTTCACCCTTGTCACAACAGGAGTAGGCATTTTTGAAGGGTAGATTAACTTGATTGATATCAGGAGGTCAATGACTGCATCTCATTCAAATGGTTTTCCTCTGGTCTCAGTTAACGCGGCTCCTAAAAAGAGGGAGGTTAGCCCTGGGAAAACCTGGCTCATTGTTTCAAACAGAAACACACACACACAGTTTCTGCTTATTTGTTTTCATTCTGATTATAGTAAATTAACTGAAGGGGCTTCTGAATTTGCAAGGCAAGTATTTCCTGAAGGAGATGACCAAGAAAATCCTAATATCTGGGGAAACACATTACTGAAAAGAAACCCGTATCACAACACAATGTACTGTGACAAAAGTATCCCCCACTCATTTTCCTTAAGAGCAATCTTTGATTTCACACTGCACAGCATGCTTCGATAGACCACTAATTGATTTATGGAGTGCCTACTAAATACCGGGTCTGGGGATGCAAAATAAGCAAGTCTGCTCATCCGGCTGCAATGGTCTCTAGGAGGTACCTAGTTTATATTTAAAAATTACAGTAATTTCTTTTAGAATTTACCTCACCCATCTACCCCCACCCCCATATTTGAAAGGATCTAGATGTGGAAGGCATTTTCAGGAACTGAGAAAGCAGGCCTTTCACTGCCAGAGCGCACATCTAAATTTTCCAGTATTATCTTGGTTTTAAAATATCTTTCAATAATATAACTTAGAAGGTCTTCGTGATAGTTCCCAGTCTGACCTAAGCACACCTTTGAATTTCTGGTATCTTACATGGGCAGAGGCACCGAAGGGGGCTTGGTGGAAGGTCACTGAATCCAGTCCTCTTCAGATTCATCAGTTGTGTGTGTGTGTGTGTGTGTGTGTGTGTGAGAGAGAGAGAGAGAGAGAGATACTGGGATACTGGGCAGGCAAATTGCTATTCAGATTCATCAGTAGTGTGTGTGTGTGTGTGTGTGTGTGTCATACTGGGCAGACAAATTGCCATTACAGTGTGTGCTGGGTTCAGAGACTGCCTCTTGAGGTGTCTGTCCCTGGGAAAGTTTTGCTTTGGGTTCGAGGCTTTTGCCTGTTAGATTCTGAGGAGGCCCGAGGGCAGACAATACCAAGGAGGCTCGAGAACGCTTCGCATAAAGCAGTTTTCTCTGTCTGCCAAGTAGAAGGCCCCCCGTCGTCCCGGGAAAAAGCTGAATGTGGTACCCAACGAACAGCTACACCCCGGCACTTTAAAGGGAACCCAGGGCACAGTCTGCAAACTGCAGCGGGTGGGGGCATGATGAGTAGGGGTGAGGGGCCAGCGTCGGACTTCCGGTGCCCTCTCGCACCCAGGGGCCGCTCACGGATGTGGGCAGGAGGGGTGATGCCAGGGGCTGCCCTCGAGGAGGGGCCGGAGAGGCGAGTGGCCTGTGCAGGGGAGCTGAGTGCCCAAAGGTGGTTCCAATGGGCGCCCGGCCGCCCAGACTTGCCAAGCCCAGGGCGGTTCTCTATGATTCCCTTAAAGCCCCTACGACCCTGGGGCCCTTGGGCGGATCACGCCCTGCTGCTCACCTGGGGCCAAGGTGCCCTTTGACCTGGCCGCGCGGGACTCTCCAGCTGCCCACCCTTGGCCCCGACGGCGCCAGACAAGGCTTCCTGCGCCGAGGTCCGGGCTCGCGCTCGCCGAGTCTCCCGCTGAGCCCTGTCGCCGCAGGACCCTGCGGCAACGTGAGCCTCCCGCCGGGGACTGCTGCAACCCCAAGAAAAGGGCCCCGAGCGGGTGCGGACGCTGCCCGGAGCGCCCGGGGCTGGATCGGGGTTCTTGGCCGGGCTGGAGCTCGGACGGTCCTGGCTCGGTGTTCTCGGTGCCGCGCGGGAAGGGCCGGCAAACCGAGGGCCCAGCGCGCCAGCACCGGTTCCTCCCCGCTCCCCTTCCCGACCCTAGAGGGTTAAACCAGGAGGGTACAACGCCACCCCTTTCTCCTCCCCCGCCCCCACCCACCCCACCCCCCAACCCCCCGCCGCTTTACCTTTAAAAAGTTAAAAAATGTCTGCAGTCGAAATCTCTTAAAGGGGCGGTGCTGGTGAACGAGTGCTCTTGGCACGAGTCGCCGAGAAGGCTGGCTCGGGGCGTGAGTTCGTTCCACCAGCACCAAAACACTGAAAAAAAAAAGGGGGGGGGGGGGAAAAAAAAGAGCGAGAGAGGGAGAAAAAAAAAAAGGAAGGGAAAAAAAAGGGGGGAAAAAGGCAGACAGACACACACTTTAGATAAGGACAATTAGTCACCAGCGAGCCCCTGTAGCAAGAGAGGTTTAAAAGCGAGGCGTTGAATGGGGGTGCTCGGTGTCGGCCCCGCAGCCATGCCCTCCAGCAGCTCCCGCCCCCCCGCGTGCCTAGCCCTGGTGGCCCTCTCCGCCGCGCTGTCGCTCCATCTCTCCCTGGGCTCCCAAGCTGCAGCCAGGAGGCCCTCGCCTGTAGCCAGAGCGCCAGGGCTGAAGGCAAAGACGCTGATCCTCCTTGATGTGAGCACCAAGAGCCCAGTGAGGACAGTGAATGAAAACTTCCTCTCTCTGCAGCTGGACCCGTCCATCATCCACGATGGCTGGCTCGATTTCTTAAGGTAAGGCAGGGGTTTCCACGGATCCTCTTTTTTTTAAAGTAATACTCTCAGCCCCCACCCCCCACCCCCTATTCTGAAGGGGGACGAAGAAGAGGAAGAGAACGAGCCAGGCGGATCTCTCCAAGGGAAGAAAGGAGGGTTTGCCTCCTCCTGGAGTACTTTCTGCGCGGCTGTAACTGGTGATTTAGCAAAGCGATGTTTTCTATTAAGATGCACATGTTTGCAATGCAGAAGGCATTTCAGAAACTTATCAGTTATGACTGAAAAAATGTGATGCTTACATAGATCCACAATTAGCCTCCCCGTTTCCTTCTGAAACAGAAACGAGAGCTTCAGAGCAGTTTCAAAAGCGAAGAGCCACAAAGACCCGAGAGGAATGGGTGTGCGCGTGTGCGTGTGCGTGCGTATGTGTGTGTGCGCGCGCGTGTGTCTGCGTGTGTGTCTGCGAGTGTTCAAGCGGGCATCGCACGAAAGTGGAATTTTCCACCGAAAGATCGCTCGCTCCGTCAGTTCTCTCCCACTCTCAGACAGAAACGAATTTAATTACGCAGAGGCTCGGGCGGTGGGCAAGTGACATCGGATTTGTGCAGTTTTGATTTTAGATCGTCCTCTGCCGGCTCCCAGACTCGAGGACGGTGTAAGGAGCTCTTTACAGACGGAATGCCCCCCCCCTCCCCCCGGCCCTCCTCCTCAAATCTCCTGCCGTGCCTGCAGAGTTCACTTTTCCTCTAAAGAAGGAGGAGGAATATCCCGCCCGGGCCTTGGCGCGTCTAACGGGAGCGTGCAGGGTCTGGGAGATGCCCGGGAGACGGCTCTGCGGATCCCGGGACATCTGCGATCTTGCCTGGCTTTTGCTCTAGGGGCGCAATTTAGGCGTCGGGCCGCCCTCTTCCCGGGCGGATGCAGGGCAGCAGTCAGGCCACCCTTCCTAGCCGGGACAGAGTTGCAGTGTTTAGAGGATTTTTTGGGGGGGACCTTCAGAGGGGGAAATCGTTTGCAATGTGGAAATCCAGTGTTGAGTTTTTAACAATTCCCTCCAAGCCGGCGCCTGAGCCGCCCGGTGCGCTCCCCGCCGCGGCGTCGGCTGAGTACGGTTGCTCCCCGGCGCGCGCTCCGGTGGGCTCCAGCTC